AAAACAAGATGGTGAATATACCCTGAAGATTAGATTTCATCGGGAGTCCGGTAGTAGAAACGTACTCATACTCGTGCTCGATCTAAAATACTGGGTATTGGTACTCCTACTCAGAAAAACCATGTACTCATCTATCTCCAAGTAGTGACTGATGTGATTTCTTTCTGTTCGAAATTAAATTTTGTTTAATCAGTGTCTGTATTCGATCATATATGTTATCGTTAATTATTACGTATTGTATTCATTGTTTTCGAATTATTTGTACTAATAAACTATTTTTCGAGGTTTTTTATCCAAATCTACTGTTAAAAATTTCCATCAACCTCAGAAAATATATATCAGCTTCCGGGCATGTCATGTTATTTGTAATTAATAAATGTCGTACATCGTACAAGAATGTATGACAGTCTAAAGACTTAAGGATTTATCTCATTACACACGTTTAAACATTCGACTAATGATCTATGCATCAATACTGGCCCTGTGGCAATTAAATCATCATCGTCTCATTTTTCTAATCGTTTCTCAGTCGTCCCAGGGATAAAAAAATTGACAAAAACGCGTTTTTCCGTTTTTCCAACCAAAAAATGTTTCAAAGGTTTCAAAACCAACACTATTTTTTAGTCGTTTAAACGCGTTTTTTTGATCTATTCGTTTGAAAAGGCGTTTTTCGGAATTTCACAACGCGTTATTCGATGAATGTGAACCACAATGAAAAAGTTAATTAACGCGTTTTGAAATAATTCAAATATAAAAACAGACGGAAGATATACAAAGGTTTAAACCCTCAACTATTGTCCCATCATTCTTCCACTTTTCCGATTCGGGTATATCCTCTTGACATTACATTAGTTGACGACAAACGAATGGAGAGCAGTAGAATGAGTACTTAGTGAATGAGTACTTTCGCCTGTTTTGTCAATGCGTTTTTATAATTAATGAATGTATATCCTACTAACATTTGATCTTGTTGTTTTAGTGCAACTTTAGCTTCAATATACGATTGTATGTTGTTTTATCTTGACTTGATCGAAATAATAGAGCTGATAACGTTGATTATATTAAAGCAATCAGTTGTACGAAATGATATGCTATTTATCTGTTTATATCATTTGGTGATGTAAACCCATGTTAACCGAAAAGAGTAGTTTCAAAAAAGTTATCTAGATTATCTAGATTCGCGATTGATTCAGTCGATGGGTGTGCGTTTTACAAGCTCCAGAAATTCGGTGGCTTCTGTTACCTTTGGATCTCGGAACCTCTCTGTGCGAATTTCTTGACACTCGTTGTACAATACCACGATTATTCTATACTACCGATCTTGATGAGTTAATTAGAGAAAGAGCCTCCGAGTAGTATCGGGTAGGGTAATCACAAAACACAAGATTTTCAAATGCGGACTATTCTTGGTATTGATTTTCCGACAAGAGAAGCAAAGGATCAGAAGTTTCAGATTATCCATGGTTATGCATCATACAAAAATTATTTCAAAACCTATCTTTATTCAAATAAATCGTCAATGTGTCCTCGAGTGTTATCGTTTAATCAATCGACAATCCAAAATCATACTCAGTCTCCTCTATCATGTTTATTCAAGAATGCATCAATATCGGTGAGTTGACATTCCTTCAACAAAAAGTATGTTCGAAAACACTGATGGATCGAAAAGTAACAAAAAAGAAGACACGGTCAAAGATGAAGTTAAAGAATATATTGACATGGAATTGGTCGATAATCAACAACATCTGCATCCTTTACCATTAGTTTTAAACTGTTTAGACTGTTTATTTAAAAAAAAACTGATATGAACCAGGGGCCTGTTTCTTAAAAAGACGTCAAACTCAAGTCCAAAAACGTCTTTATCTTTTTTGACTTAAGTAAGATTTTCTACTTAAGTTTTTTTAAGAAACAGGCCCCAGAAAAGAAGACCAGTCAAGTGAAATCCTCGTCTTAAGGACTACATTACATCTTCTGAGACGACTCTTTAAACAGAACAACAAAGATCATCACCGTAGAAAAAAAAGTTGGACTAAGGAAAAGAAAAAAGAGAGAGAATAATGTTTTACAAAAGTATAGAGAACAAATAAAAGTAATGACAGACAGCTAAAAACACAATACAGAACAGAGAGAGTAGAGGAACAGTAATAAAAATAGGCATATGAAACTGTGTTAATAGGAGAAAAACACCTGATATTGGCGTTAAATAAAAGATTTATATATCCATTCAAATGCTAAACGGTTGAGATTCCATTTGAGAAGTCGCATGCAGTTGTGTACGAAAGTGTTTTTCTAATTACGTAGTCAACATGAGAATCCTGCGATAGATTACAGGCGAGAAATAAGCCCAGATGTTTATGAAGAGTAACTTTATGAACGAGTTTGTTCTGAATTAATAACGTGGAAAGATATGAATTTAATGTTATTGCACGTTTGTAAAAAGATGAGCCTCACATTTTTTAATATTTAGAGTTACTTGCCATGTAGAATACCACTGTACTATTTTTTCAAGACCTCTGTTTATTATTCACCTTTGAATACTTCAACCTAAACTTTTCAAATTATGTAAGATATATCCAAGAGCATGAAATCGTACATACTTCATTAGTCTGTTTTATCCAACAATTCAATATTCCTCTCATACGTTTTACAGCACTCTGTCCTAGTCCATGAGCACGTATTTTCTACTTTATAGAAAATCGATCTGGAAAAGCGCCAGGGATTTTCCAACTTTTATAAAATCTTCAGCGATTTTCTGACTGTTTAGAAAATGTTAATTTTCTACTTTATAGAACATCCGCTCGATTTTCTATAAATTGACTTTTCACATTTGCCAGAAAATCGATAGCGAATTTCTAAAATGTTGGAAAATCGACAGCGATTTTCTAAAGGCAACTATTTTTTTGCTAAGTAGTTTTATTAAATGCTAAGTTAATTTTTGTTAATTCCTATTTTAGTATGTGTGCCTGGGGGGCGGTTGTGGGAGTAGGTGCGTGGAGAGCATGAGAGTGAGCCGCTAAACCACATTTCTGCAAAAAATATAATTATTTTTAACAAATTACTTGGAAAAAAATAACTTTTTACTTAGCATTTAATAAAAACTACTTAACATTTAAATGGGAGCCTTTTCTAAATAGTTGGAAAAATCGAATTCGATTTTCTAACAAGACGAATCGGTGATTTTTTTCTTGCTTCTTTCACATCTATTAAAGCCTACATTACAACAAGTTGTCCTGTAACATAACTTCTAGATTCGGAAAAGTTCTCTCAGTTTTTACAAATCAGCATATTCTTTGAGAAATATTGTTGCTGTATGACACTTGGAGATCACAAAGAGGTACTGAAAAGGTTCTTGTGTTGCTTGGTTAAGATAAAGTCGAGTTTCACTGCAACTTTATGACGATCGCAAAGCGATTTGCTCTTGCTAATATTCCTCATTTTTATGTCTGAATTTACCATCTTCCAAAAATGTACTTGGTTCTATTAACTCAAAGACATAATCCTAACAATTCACATTTATTTTATTATTTTTTAAATAAAATAACAGTAGTTCAGCACGTGATCAATGTCGAATTTGGTTTTGATTAATAAAAGATCCATATTGTCATCCAATAAGCTGACATAATACACCCCACTCAACTGAAGTTCAATAGTTTTTAATAATGATGAAAAAGTTTATCTTCAGCCATTTTCACTTTGCAAGTCTCTGATTATCAGCATTCTCACTCAAATTGTTCTTCTTCATCATCTAGAAAATCGCTGAGGATTTTCTAGGAAGTAGAAAATAATCTGACTTTGTGATTTTCGAAAAGTCCATATATAAAACCCTTGAGGATTTTCTATAAATAATTCCCAACAGTGTAGAAAAATCGATGTCGAAAAAAAGAAACTTGCTTGAAAAAAAATTGCTTATCGCATAACAATTTTTGTAATTCAAAAAAAGCACTGCAATATTATTACTCCAACAAAGACAAGTCATTCTTTTTGAATAATAAAATTAAATAATATAACTTCAAAAAACTATCGTTAGCATATACACTATCATTTCTTATTGCCAAGCATACATATACCAATTTCAAACTTCCAGATCTCCACGTGAGACAGGACAGGGCAAAATTTTAGTCCCACATCCTGTCCCGTCTCAGATTCGGACTGAATTTTTATCTTAGCCCTTTTCCATCTTGCAAAAATTCTAGAAAACATGTATAACAGCGCGCAATCTTTGATCTTTTTGTTCTTGTTCATTTAGTTTGTATGAGGAGAAATTGGATGGTGTGTATAATGTGATTTTCTGTTGTACTTGATTATCAGATGACGAGATTAAACATTGATGTTTATTTAAAACACGTGTGCTTGCCGATTTAAATGAATATGTCTGGAAACACTGTTTATAGCTCACAAAATCTGATATCGGTTTCGATGGATTTTCAGAGGGATCTTCTTCTGCTAGAAAGCCAAAAACTTCTCAACATTGTGACGATGAAAGGGAATTTTTATTATTAATAACTTCATATTTTTCTTTATGAAACATCAACAGAGATTTGATTTGATCACATTCATTTTTCATTAATTTCTGACTTGCTTTAGACGAAGAAGAAGTGGCAGAGACAGATGCCATTTTCTCACAAAAAAATCAAGAAATTAATCAGAGTTTGTTGAGAAAACAAAGTTATCGGTCTATTGATAAAAGAAGTAAATAGTTAGTATTCGTTTCCTATTGGAGTCTGACTGGTCGCGACAGCCTCGCTTTTCATACGTCTTTGAAACATATAAACACCGGTACTTTATTTGTTAATAGGGCCGCCTTGTAGAATGGGTACAAAAAAATTTCTTTGGCTGTCGGTGAACGACAGATATTTTTCGTAAGAAAAATGAACATTGATATATTAAGCTAAAGAGAAAGAGGAAAACTAACAGAACTAAATGCAAGGACTAAAATAGCGGCTGATATTATTTATCACAGCGGAGATATAAAAATAACCTAAAAATAACAAAGACTATAGTTAAGCTAATTGTTCAGGAGAAGTTAAAGACGTTGTTGGTAATTCGCTGCGCATTTTTTTAATAACCCATTCAATCGCTTGACGGCCCTAAAATAAAATAAATATTCCCTCAGTATTAACAGTAGTTAAGTATGATCGATTGCTCAAGTATGAGAGATGAAGAAGCAAATATTTAAAATCCTGATTGATCTTACTCATACGAATGTATCTAATGAGCAATTTACATTCTAACGAATTACGAGAAAGAGACAAATACAGAATGCATCGAACATTTGCTAGACATTTCATAACAGCGTAATTAAAACTAAAAATGTTTCTATCTGTTTTTTATAATTGTCAGTTCGTTTTCTTCCTACCTTATTGGCATTTGAATTTATTGTTTTTTCTATTAGTGCTTCCATATAATTAGTTAAGGGTACATTTTGCACCGTAATTGTGGCTTCTTGTTTTAATAGAGTTTTTGACTTGTCTTTTGGATGAGGTGTATACTGAAGATGTTCTTCTATACTTAAATAACGATTTAATGTTAAATTTCTCGTTCTTAATGTCATTAAACGTTTGTTAGCATCAATAATTGAATGTTCGGATCCATAACCGGCACCATCCATGTTGATTAACTAAAAAATATAAATGATAGATGTTCATCATACCACAGACACACACAAAAATCTGATAAGACTTACTTTTGCAAGTGATGGTGCAATTGACCAATTACAAAGTAAAACACGATGAGAGATGATCTGACCATTTTCTATTCTGCGATCTACAACGTCACACCCCAAAATACCTGGATTCACAGGATTTGGATATTTTTGCAGTGCGGCTTTCACAACTGTAGACCAGTCATGCCTGAACAGAAAGAGCATTTACTAATTGTCAAAAAATGGCAACAAATACGATGATACTCAACTCGAAAACGTGGCTTGATGTCCAAATTTTCATTCTTCGATTTTATACGAAAATTGAGCTAAGAATGAAAATGTTGATCTAATCTTATCTTAAATGTTTAGAACAGAAGGCCAGATTAATCGAATATTCCCATCCAGGATTGAACAGAACACAGAAGTAAATGAGGTTTAAAATTGAAGCAAACACAATAATCCAAACAAATTAATTCTCACATCAGTAGCAGATTCACTCTCTTTTTACAAGAATAGATAAACCAAGTCAATCGAAACAAAAGCTGCCACAATCAGGTCATCGACTTTCACACTAAAAAAAATCATAAGAAACACTCATACTCTAAAAAGAAGCGCTTGATGTATAAAAAAAACATAAAATAAATACACCGTGAATAAACAAAAGAAATAGTTGGACACACAGTTGAGTTATTCAGCAAAGTTGGATTAATCAGAGTCTGAATCCAGAGCTACACGTCGACGATCAAACTAAAAAAAGTAAGAAAAATAAATAACATATGGAAGAATTTATAAATGAATACTTGAACTTTCAACACTTTAATCTAAGAGTCGTAGCTGCATTTAAACGAAAGTAATATTCAACTTACATTAACTTTAGCTGTTTTTTCAGTTGCCTTATTTACTTGTTCAAGAATATTAATCAGTTGTTCTTCTGAGACCTATTGGAAAACACACAAACAAGCATCATATACTTGAAAAGTGATTTGCAGACTATTATACAAAATAACATACTTTGCCTCCAAATGCGCCTCTTCGTGCATTCTGCAGTAGAATATCTTCTACCATACGTGCTTTATCTGGCTTGGCAACAGCTATTGTGTTTAACCTTGCTCTCGCTTCTTGGGTTAACAATGAACTTAACATTGTATTACGCATTTCTTCTTGCTTTTGCCGTTGTTCTTCTCCATTTTTTTCTCCAGTTCCTTCCATCCCTGATGGATTTCCTCCATATTGTTTTTGTAATTCAGCCATGCGTTTTGCACGAATATCATCAAGAGTGGAATCACCCATATTTTTGATAGAAAATATCTAGAAAAAATAATTTCATAATATCTAGCCTTTTAGCTGCAAAATCGATCAGTGAATACTAACAAATAGTCTAAGATTTCTCTTTCTAAATGGCTGTCGCTATACAAAAATATCAATGATTAATAATAGAGCAAAACTTTGAACAGAATACACTGAAATTTTTTTAATCATGTTTAATACATATTTGCTGTTTTGTTAATCTATAGATGATTTTCAATGTAGCTTTTATTTACGAAAAAAACAACAACATTGTTTCTCTTCAATCTGTATATTTGATAAATATAATTTTATCTTGAACTTATATCTTATCAAAAAATCAATTAGAAAAACACAAATATTACAACAGATATTAATTACCTATATATATATACGAAGAAAGAGACGTTCGCTTAACAGAAAAGAAAAACAATACGTTTATCCGAATCTGCAAAATATAAAGTTTCACAAGAAAAATAAAATATTGACATTGCTGAAAATGGTACAATCAAAACAGTTTGCTTATTTATAATTGTTGTAACAGATCACTTCGTTCTTCCATTAAATCCTGGTAGAGTCGCTGTAACTCTTTCTCACGTTGTTCTTGTCTTATAACATCGTCGGTAAAAGACTTAAATAAAGAGACAATATAATTTTTATCTAAAGTTATCTCATTATAGACACTTTCTCATCGATTAGCAAGCAAAAAAAGTGGTGACATGGAGAAACTATAAGACAAGTACCTAATGTTTGACTATAGAACATCTTCAGTTATTTTTATACATACTTCAATACGTTTCGGTATTGCATGAGTTTCATTCTGACGTAACACTTCAAATGTTTTTGATTCAACTTGTAAGTGATCAATTTGTTCGTAAATTTCACTTAAAGCTTTATCCAACGCTTGCCCACGTGACTAGAAAGAAAAACTAATATTTAAATGAGATTACAAATATCAGATGGACATATTTATAACAACCTGATAACCACCAAGTAACGTTTTTAATTTCTTTTCCAATTTTGCAGCACGTTTAGCTTCAAGTGACATTAAATTACGATTTAGCTTAAAAAGAAATAAACAGACAGACAATAGTTTGTTAGTTGCTTGGAGTATTCAAGAAACTGTTTTTTAAAAGTCTCAAGAGTACAAATAGATTTAGTAATAGCACAGTAAATAATTTACCTCTAGTTTTTTTTCTGATGATTCAATGCGATCTTTTTTTGTTGCTGTATTTGCACGAGTAAAACGACTTTTTGATGGTAAAAACAACACTTGTGAATAACATTCATCCCATACTTTTGAATACGTTTCCAAACCAATATCACCGTGTCCCATACTCTTCTTAACTAAATTCATTTCTGTTTCTAACATTGTACGTGCCTTAACAAAGGTAAAACAAGATGATAAAGGAGATAATCATACTCGAGTATATTTACCTGCGAAAGGGCTTCATCGCTAAACTGTTCATACGGATGTGCATCTAAATAATCTGTATTCTTCTCATTACTATTTGATATATCTTTTCTTCCACCTTGCAATGCACCATTAACTGGATTATTCGAGGCATCATAATGAAGTAATACAAGCATCTCTTGTTTTATTAATTCCTCTGCCTGAAAAAGTACACGAATCAAGTATTGCTATTGAACAAGAGAAAAAATATTTTTACCCTTTGTACATCGTTCATCGGTGCCTCAACGGTAGATGGTCGTAGTACTGTATGATTAATATCAATCGGCCTTGGAAGTTGACGTTGTACAGCTTGCGTTTGACGTTTGAAGTGTTCTTGAGCTAAAGTACACACACACACAATATTTATATTTTCTAACTTCAAAGACGTTTTATTCCCAAATGTAAAAATCAAATAAATACCCACACAAAAAAAAGAAAAAGACTATATGAAATAAAGAGTGAGTTTTGTGCTACTATTCATAGCTGTGTTGCTTTTCCCCCACTTTTTGACTCTTAAAACGTACCTAGTTTTTGCTTTTCTAGTTGGGTGTGTCGGTCAATATCGCCTTGATCTTCATCCCTATTAAATGTATCCATTCGTTCATCATCACGTGAAAATACACTTGCACTATCATCTTCAGAAGGTAGAACAATTTCGTAGTCATTTTTTGGTGCCGGTAAACGCGCTAAATTACGACGTAACTGTTGCTTGGTTTCTTGCTAAAAGATCAAAAGAAAATGAGTAATGAGCAACTAGGTACAGACTTATGTACGAATATGGTTTTTTGTATACGAAACCAGCTTACATCACCATCAAGTATTCGCCTCATTGTTGTGCGCGGTGTCTTGTTAAGAGAGAGACTTTAAACCTGAGAACAATTTTAACTTTAAGAAATAAAATTCACACTTTTCTTTTGTTGAAGAATGAAAGTAGTTTAGTGAAAAGTCCTAATCTCTCATAAACTAAGTAAAAACGCGCGGATAAAAATAATAAAAAACATTTCAAACTACTTTTTACAATAATAAACTAATTAATCTCATCTTTACATATTTTACTGAAAGTTAGCATTAAAAAAAAAGCGATGCAAGGTAAATAATGACTAGTAGTTCCATCTTTCTAATCAGTCATAACCAAACAAAAAATTACCTGTCTCATTTGGTCATCGAACAATCCGTCTTCAGCATTAATATTTAATCTATCTCGAACAGGTGTTATTCCAGGCGTTGTGCCTATTGTTGATAAAGTTCCCGTACCATTCACAATATCACCTGGTGTCTGAATTGCTCGAGTTGATGGTGTATTATTTGTCACGTCGCGTGGAGTACGAAACGGCGTGGCATACAACGTATTTGGCGTTGTCATTATTAAACCTGATTTTGTTTTTTCATTACTAACATCCATCAGTGGTGTACTTTGACCACCTTTCAATGGTGTATCAAGAGTTGTCAATATGTTCAGATTGTGTGCTTGAATATTGACACTGTCAAGTGTTGATGGTAACTGTGGTGTTCGCAATTTACTCAAATCTGGTGTCAAGTTATAATCGCCCAGTAATGTTTCTGTTGCCATTGTACCAGTTTCTGTCACTTGTTGTTTGGCCATTTCTGTTGCTTGTCCTAATTTAACCACTTGTTCTAATTCCATATCACTTATTTGAGGTGCGGGTAACACCAACTTCGATCGTTTATGAATTGGTTCTAATCTATTTTCATTCATGATCATTGTTGGTAAATCTTCTTCTTTTTTTCTTTTTAATTTGTCTTTATCCTTTTTCAGTTCACGTTGTTCATTCTCTTCTTTTTGCACAGAATTGACATTATCTTTTCGCAAACGACGAAAATCAATTTTTTCTGGGTCAAATTCTTCATTAGATGTATCATAAAAACCAATTGCTGGAAGTTTTTGAAATGGAATTTCAACATTGTAATTGATACCACGTCTCCGACTATGATATCGTCGTACTTCAATGCCAGCTGCACGAAGTTCTCGGCGTTTTTGTAATGCAGCTAAACGTCTTGCTTCCTCTAGTTGTTTTTCCCTAGCTTTACGTTTCGCTTTTTTTCCTTGTGTATTTGCCAGACGAGCACGTGCTAGAAACAGAAAGAAACAAATGTGGTCATTTCTAAGCAAAGAAAGATCGAAATAACGCATTCTTTACCTTCAGATAACATTTCTAATTCATCTTCATCCATATCAATTGGATCTGGACGCGCTGGCTTTGTCTCTGGATTTGGATCAATTTCACCCGGGCGCAAGGTTCTTGGATCATCATTGATTTCATCTAAACCTTCTCGACGACGTTGAGCTTGATCTCTGAAAATAAAATTTTTTTACTAAATAATCTTTTCTTCAGTCTCGCAATTATAGAGGATGAATCTGACACTTACAATAAGTATTCATAACGTTCAAGACATTGTGCTGCTGTACGCCCCACAATCGGTGCAATTGTTCGCCATTGTGTTGGCATCAATTTAGCCATATGCAATAATTTTTCATCTTCATCGCGGCTCCATTCTGTTTTTTTTATACCTGGATCTAACCATTCAAACCTGCAGAAAAAAAAATAAGTTAAGTAACATTATATCAGTATACTCTACATACCATCTTGCTTTGCATTGTTTAGCCGATTTTCGATGTAATAAAGATGCAATACGAGACCATTGATTTTTTCCATATTTCATAACAGCCGCTTTGAGAATTTCATCCTTAAACAAGATTCAAATACATTTCATTAGAGTAATAAAAGCAGAAGACTTTTACAAACCTCTGTATTTCTCCAAACACCACCTTTTATAGTGACTCGGACCATGTTTGCTTATTAAATCTACGACAAAGTATGAAATATTAAAAATCTAAAGAACAAAACATGTGTCTTCTTCTTGAGTTTCATAAAAAATTTTGCTTCAATAAGAACTTCACTTAAACTCACTTAAGAAAGATCGCTAGACTATTCGAAGTGCTGATCAACAAAAAGCGTGAGGTATTACATTAAGTCACTGATGGTACGCACGGATTACCTAATTTCATGCGTAAACATCAGCGATCCAACACGTTTATCAACAATCAAATTGGTACATGGGTACTCATCAGATACTTCGCATTAGTTGCTTATTCAAATATCATTTTGTTTAGTTTGATTAGGTGCTATAAGCAGTTAGCACTTACAAAAGAGAAATATTGATACAGGGAGAATTCTGAAAGTAAAAAGAATATAACAAAAAAAATCGTTGACCGTTATATAATTCATTGATCATAATTTAAACTTGGAGAAATCTAAAAGGCAAATACGTTTAGAGTCTTTAACTTAGTCATAAGAGTGTGGAAACAATAGAAAATCTATTTCTCAAGTACCTAAAGTTTTAATATAATCTAGCAAATGGCCGAGTAACAAATATCTTGAACTAGCAGTAAAGTAGATCTGAAATGAAGCAACGATTACAGGATAAATAATCGTTGAAACAAAAAACTACCGTTAGAGAGACCTGTTGACTACTTCTTGTCGTATTATGATTGACAAAGACAGAGGTCTGATCTACACGAATTAACTTAAGAAATCTGATTAGAGTTGCTAAGAAGTAACACCAATCAGATCCCTTAATCCAGAGTTAACTCGCGTAGTGTAGACCAAGCCAGAACAATGTAGATTTGAAAAAATAAAAGTCCATGTTTTTTCATCTACTTTTCTCTGAATCATATACAAAAGTTCGTTCCATCATTAAGTAAGGTCTGTGAAGTACGTAATCACGGACTTTTCAAACATGGAAACTGTCAGACATCTCCGTGAAATTATGGGAGAAAGTGCGTGAAAACTCACGGAGCTGACTGACAGTTTCCGTGTTTGAAAAGTCCGTGATTACGTACTTCACAGACCTTAATTAATGATGGGACGAACTTTTGTATGTGATTCAGAGAAAAGTAGATGAAAAAACCACGAACTTTTGCTTTTTCAAATTTACACTAAACTAGTCAAATTGAAATTCTCTAAGAATAGGTGTCGAGAACTATATACTTGTAACTCATCCGATTCCATATCAACAAAACAACAAATATATAATGTATGTATAACAAAAAGATAAATGAATAAACAACTTCTAACCAAGTCCATTATTTACTTCTGGATAAATTGTTGGAGCTTAGTCGACCACTCACTAAAACAGTTAGAATTTTATGATACTGTAGTTGTGTCGCTATTGTACAGTGAATTTTCTATTGTGGCGACGCTCTTTGCACAAACGACTTTGTGGTTAATTATATCTGTGTTTCATATAGATTTATCATCAATTTTATACTGACCTTTAGAGCAAAAATAAGTGATATGGTAGTTCGATATTATGTCTTTTTTATACAGCCTTTCAGTATTATTTCATGAGAACAAAATAAATATATTTAATTCTTTTGATAAAATTCTTTTGATAACGACGGTGTAAGCAATACTTTACCCATTGGCCATGTTTCGCCAAAAATTTCAAAAACCAATCAGTTTTTTATTTATAATGCTATTAGATTGTAGTAATTTCAAATAGAAAAACACTAGAAATTATGAGAAAGTTTGAAAAACCGATTTCTTTTTGTCAGATGAATTGAACTGAAATTCTGATCTATGAATTACGCTTTTATCAGTTACGCAAATTTGTGAAGATTTCATTTTTGAATTTTCAATGATTGTATGGATGAAAGTGATTCTCGTGTTAGTAACGGTCCAGTACTGCAGATATACTCTTTTGTCTCGCCTGAAACATGGTTATTAAATGTTTTTTTTAAAATACCATATAAAAACACTAATTTTCGCACAATCATCTTTGAATTTTTTAATCCACCGCAATATCACATACCTATAGTAGTAATGACATTCACTTTTCAATATGCCTTCTTGAAGCCTTGCGTCTTCTCTGAAAGAGTAAATGCTAAATGAATAGTTTCGTGATATTTAGTAGTAGTCGCAATAGAATTATTCTTTTGATCTCGTTTGCATTCATTACATTACTACCGTTAAACAAAACTTTAGTTTCATCTTTGATATAACACACACCATCATATCTATTACATCACATCTTTTGCATATTTTTATTATATGTAAAAACTTGAGTAAAATTTTTGTATAACCATTACTGACAGAACAGAATTCTTATTCTTTACATCGTACATCAATGTAACAGTCTTATATATTCTCATTATAAGTTTTCCTGAAAAAGATACATTATACTACTTCGATGTAAGAAAGTTATCAGTAGTTAATCTTATTTTATTATGTCTATTGAACCAGTTGTCTAAAATTCTTTTACTTTTCCATCTAGAAAAAAATTTTAGTAAAAAATTAAATGGACATTTTTTGAAATTGATATATGTCTATTATATTTGTTAAAATTTTTTGTGATAATAATGTGTAAGAATTTTGTGAATAAAAAAAGTGCACGACGATTAGGAAATAACATCTATGATTCATTTTAAGAAGTAAAACCCTGTGATTTTTTTTTTATGACGATTACGAATATGACAAGACATTCAAAAACCGAATGTCCCACATATATTTATTGACTATAATATAATTTCAAGTATAATTAACTATAGAACCATAATCACATGTGAAAGTACAACAAATGCTATTGATTTAGCGTTATTACTTAAAATAAAGATAACTAAACATATTCATATGAGAATGCAGACGAATTCTATTGAGAAGAAAACTGATTACAATGCTAATGTAATGTGGTGAGCAGAAATAAAATATTCATAAGATGTGACTAATATAATTCAAATTATTTTATTGATTAAGTGTTTTACAAATTTTTTGTATCTATTAACTCGAATACTCGTACGTCTAGTTCTTAACCATATACATTTGTCATATTTCATATTTTTAGACAGGCTGAGCACGATATGTTTTACAAAAAGAAATATCTCTCAAATTTATAGAGCCTATTCTTGAAATATAGATATATTTACTTTACTAAAAAGTTCTAATAATTTTATCTAAATTGTTCAGTCAAAGAATTCTGAACGAGACTAAATATTTAGTTTTAAAAATTTTTATATACACAGGAATCTGTATTTAATAGATTATCATAGAAAAAATAACGTTCGTTTGCGAGAAGAAGGGGCGATAGAAAATTACAAAAAACTTCAATCATTAAAATATATAAGGAAGAAATTTTATAAGATGAGACATTTATAGTATTACGATGTATTTTACTCGAAAAAAATGTTCTCGTTACTACTTCTTTTTTTTTTGAGAATCCTATGATCCTATTGAAAATTTTGTCCAATTAAACTTAAATTTTTACTTTAACTTGAATTTAATCAGGAAAGTGTTCATTATTTGTTAGCAGAATGGATCGACTGTGAACGGAAATATATAACTTTATTGACGATGAATACTTTTTATTTGTTTTTATTATATTTCTTTTTTTGAGAAAAAAAAAAATACTCTAGAAAATAGAAACCCAAAAAAAATATTGAGTTTTTTTTCTGCCCATTTTATATATTCCTCGAAACACTAAGTCATCTAAAAATAAGAATAGAATCATATTGAACGAAAGAAAAAACAAAATTTTTGTGGAGAAAAGAAAAAGGAAAAATCGCTCAGTACAATGGAAAAGCCTTTTGTTCAACAATGTAAAAGATTATTCACTATGGAGTGTGCAAAAATATAAGATTATTGTAGACTATGATATAAGTCAATCGTTAAACAAATAATTTTACAAAAAAGAGGCAAGTAATGATTGTCCATTGTTCGTTCTCACCAAGTAATGTACATTGAAAAATAAACAGATCGAACACAAATAGTGTTTGTGAACGATAGAAGTTTAGTTAGAAAGAAATTTTTCCTAATAATAACAGTTCAAAGACATCCATACTCGTTGATTATTTGTTTTGTTGTTTTGTTATTAATTCATATTGCACAATAAGTCGTTTAGCACAATGAGTTCTATCTAGTGTATCGATACGGCACCCCGATAGTCCATGAAATTGTCTCTTCACTTTTATTTACATCAGTGAAAAAGCTCAAAAGAGCAAGCATAAAGAGAGTCAAACAGAGGGGGAGGAGGGGGTATATATTTAACTCAGAATTTCCATTAAAAACACTGTTATTGTCACGTATGAAAAGTAGTGATCGAATAAATCTGTATGATTGACAAAAACGATGATAGTATGTTTGAAGGTCGTACAATGCAACAGAAAAGATAAACGGAAACACTACTCACTTTCAAGTATACAATATTTGCTATTTGTTTTCATAATTCTCTATCAAAAGTTATAAATTGTACTTTTCTCGATATAATAAAATGATATGTGACTAGAATCAGAAGTTGAAAAATATTTGTGAATGAGTGAAGCTGAATATTAGTTCGTTTTGAACAAAGACATATCTCATTACCATTTAATTGTAAAAAAGTGAATCAGATCAGTCGTTAAATGCAATAACTACAGACGAAGAGCACGAGAATAAGAAACAACTTGATTTTTGTATCTTTTTTCATCTCATATTTTTATGTCTATCTTTTAGTGTATTCATTTGTGTGCGAGATTATTATGTGTAAGAATGATATTTATTCCATTATCAATTTTATCTACTATTATTCTATTATGGAGTTTGGTGAAATATTCAACTGCTCTTAATTGTTTCAAATGTATGACAACAAATGTTGATAATGATACGTGCAATGATCCATTTAATGCAATAGAAAATCAACTTGAATTTGATTGTCAAGCAACATGGAAGGGAAAACAAGGAACATTTCCAGCTCGATTTTGTGTTAAAATATCTGGAACAGTACTTGATATTGAAGAGAATGTCAATTCAACATATTTATATAAAAAAATATTTTTAAGAACGTGTATTGTTGAAAATATTATGGATTCAACAAAGAGTCCCGACTCTACTGGAAATTTTCGTTTACAAGGTTTTCAGGGTCTAATTGGTTTACGTATACAAGGTACAATAGCGTTGTGTACACTCGATGGTTGTAATCGCTCTCAAAAATTCTATAATTCGACGGGGAAATCTAACATTGTATTATTTATAATTTTATTTTATAATTCATTAATTAATTTGTAAATATTGATTTTTATTTCAATAATCGATTTGCGTTAGGTCAGATAAGACTTCATGTTGAACATATTTTTGTTGTTGTTGTTGTTTTGATGCTCGCTGGAAAGTGTTATTTATACGATCAAAGCTGTAACATTCGAATTCTAGACCTCTCTATACTTTCTGTTGAACATTAGAGTGAACTGTAGAGTTATATTTCGTTTTTTTTTAAATTAAGTATTTTCCTTATTATATGTAAACACAGGTAAGATTTTTTATATCAAATTAATGTTCAAATGTATAGAAATGTATCACAAACGTTATATAAAGAGCAACAACTCATTAAACATTTCATAACGTGGCAATGAGTGACAATAGTACGCGACGACATTCTAAAAAAAGGTATTTCAAAAACTCTAAAAAGTACTTTCCATTTAAGAAAAATCAAAAAAAGATTTAATCACCCGTAAAAAATGTTTAAAGGGTATAATCATTTGAATCATATCATAGCTATTTAAAAGTTTCTTATTTTTATCAAAAAACTAATTTCCGTTTTCTAAAATACGGCTAAATTATGTTCTGAAAAACGATTGAGGATTTTTTACGTCACAAAAAAACTTTTCAGATATTTTAAAATATCAAAGCAATTCAGGGTTTTTTAACTCACGGCTTTTTATTATTCTAAAAATGCCAAAAGGGTTTCCTGATAAAAGTAAAAAACGTTTAAACAGTTATGATATGCTTCAAATGGTTATACCATTTTCCGTATTTTAAAATATCTTTGTTTTTTAGAGAGTATCGACTATAGTATTACAGTAGTAAGTACTGTAGTTGATACTATAGACCATTATAAAATATTCAATGAGTTTTTGTTCCTTATATAACATTGGTGATACATTTTTACACATTCAAACATTATTTCATGCGAAAATTTTTACGAATGCACGAATAAATTAGCATATGCATCTACGTTCAAAAATTCATTATATTACAAATTTAACTTAACTAATACAATTAAAATGGCTATTCTGTTAAGATATCTACTTAAAAATACTGATAAAACACTCTTTTGGTTTATTTATGTATGCTCAATAGTACAGAAGAATTATTTTGCTATTCATTTACAAAATATTACTAATTTACGAGACAATCATTGTTAACAACATATGATATTGTAGTTTCCTACGCAACTAGTTTCGAGTTATATATGCATATATATAACTCAGTCACTTTTTGTGTTTTTCACGATTAGTCCCTCGAGAGTTTATATGAGAATTTCTCAGGACTCTTATAGGATTTTGAAGAATAGAAAATAAAGCCATCCATTTTTTATTATTATTTTACTTTAAAAAGAGAAGTTTAATATCATCATTGTAGTAGCTTTTGGCTAGAAATCAATAGTAAGCAGATATGTTTGCGATCGATCACTGAGAGAAAAACTTCGAAAATTTTTCCGACTCCCAGCTCATAAGATATTCCTAGAAAGTCATCATGAAGTTCTGCAAAATACAAACAAAAGTTTCCACGAATATTTGGGAAAGTTTTCATTTTTAGTGAATACAACGAGACTTTAATGTTGATACTAAGAAATTCTCTTGGAAATTCTTTTGAATTATTGTTTTGTTTTATACCCTTGTGTAGATATAAGTGCGAATATTTTCACATTAAAATACCTTCAAATTTTTTTGCTTCTTGACCATAGTTGTTTAAGGGAGAACCTATGACTCTATATGGTCGTATATCTGATGGCTATGACTATTATAAATAAAAACAAAATGTAAAGAAAACTTTTCATTCAAGCTCTTGCAACATCTTGGAATGGATTCATTCAAGATCTTGGGTGAAAGATTCAACAATCCACGATCTTGACTTTTCGGTGTTTTTTCTGAGATCTTCTGACATTTCTTAACCCAAGACCTTGGGTACAAAAAGTTTCATTAGGGTAAACGCTAAAATAGTAAGCAATTCGGAATAAGAAACGGACTGATTGAAAGCCTAATTAAGTACATTTATATTAAGTCCTTTAAGACTATGCAGATTTCTAGTGATGATTTCAAGAAAATTCAAAAAAAAGGTTGAAGTTATACAATCAATCACTATATGAGGCTCGACAATCGATGTTTGAGCGACTCTGCACAGTAGTCAATCACGTGGACTCTAGGTGAAAAATCGAAAGAGTACTTTTTTAAGATTCCAACAGTGGATAATATACTTCAAACTATGATCTATTTAATGGCATAAAAATTGTTATTCCTGTTGCCATAGTTCACCCAAAAATCTATAGTAAAAATTTCGTCTAAAACTTAGCTATTAAGAAATACGAACCTGTTTTGCCTAAACTAAAAGACACCGTTGAAAAACTCACACATATTCTGAAACCACGTCTTCCGATCTATCGATTCATAAAAAAGAGTTTTTACTTGGCGCTTTGACGTCGGAAGGAATAATTTTTCTTTGTGTGTTAAGCGTTTTCTGAAAGGCTATGTTCTGTATAGTGAGTTTCCACAATTCTCCACAACTCCAAATTTGATGAAATTTTAGCAGAATACTCTTCTACTTACCATACATCTATATGGATAGCGCCAATTAGCGTCAAAGTTTCTGAACCGAGTTACAGGTCCGGATCTCTAGAAAACCCAGTACAAACATACTTTGACAGTTTGAAAACCCCACATTGAAAAGAGCGTACGTGGAAACCTATAAAAAGAGTGCTTAAAGACTTTCATACCGCTTTTCCAGCACATGTCCATGTGCCTAGCCAAAATTGCCCACTGTGCTCCGATCATTTGACGCAATGATCGGATGTAATGTTTAATAATTCAATGTAATGTTTCGTGTGATCAATAAAACCAATTAGATCTTACGCTTCTCATCCGAGGCTGAAATTTATTTATAGACTGATGTAATAGCGTTTCATGCATACTTGGTAGAAAGAGAAAATAATTCAGAAAGCTGAAAATCGATGAGATGAACTTGGTGGAACAAAATGTTATAACTGCAAGAAAATCTCTCGTATATAAAGTCATTTTGCACAACTGACTGTAGTTAAAAAGTAAATGGGTTCAAAGAAGCGTCAGATTACGGAAGACTGTATATGTATAATAAGGGATCGCTCAAGCATTGGTTAATCTGACACAATACCCATACTATTACTATATGTGCTAAAATTAATCAGTAGTAAAAACTAACGCAGTGGCGAATAAATATTTTACTTATCAAAACTGACGTGCTTTGTCAGTGACAACACAGAAGAGAAAATACTAAAGGTAAATAAACATTGTCGTAAGTATACATTACTCATGTTTTTGAGAAAAAGTATACTTTTCTCTCTTCTTTTTTTTTATCAAATTCTTTTTTCTGTAAGTATATTGGATAGCAATGTATGTAAAAGAAAAAATATATTTGTATAATAAAACATGAAAATTATGCCTAGCCGATTGTAAGTTTATCAACAAACCATTGATGAGTGTTTTACAAAAAATCAAATATAGCTGTATAAAGGGTTATAGATAAGGAATAAAAACAAAAAAATCAAAAGACCATTAATGGAAATAATAGCCACTTATTAACAACACTAAAACGTATGTTAATAATCTAACGTGTAATTCATGTATATGCTGAGACTAAGACGTTTTCTTTATATTTTCATCATCTAGTATGAATCATCCATCATTCTATCAAACTGGACTTCCATTAGATAATATCTCTGCATCATCATTATATCGTGTTCCAATGAATTATCAACTACTAAATAATCCAATAGGATCGAATTTTCAAGATTTTAGAACAATATTTCAACCCCAAGCCTCAAATGGACCTACAATTCAATATTATCCTCCAATAGCATCACCACCGTCATTAACTGAAAATTCAGAACGTGATATCTTTGATTTAGATTCACCATCAATATCGAGTCAAAGTGATAATAGTATATTGAGCATTGATTCATTTCCAACACAATATCAACAAAAGTCAAATGATTATTCTATACGACCAGTGCCCACAACTGCATCATCAGACGAGAATGATGGAACTAATGATGAAAATGAAGGATCTAAAATTTTACGTAAACGAAAAAAACATACTCAAGTAAGATCTTCATCTCTCAATTTTCTTTATCCATACAAAATATTAAATTTATTATTATTTTTTTAATATTTTTTATTGTAGGTTGAAAAACAACGTCGTCAGTTAGAAAAATCTCATTTTCGCGAAATGTCTATTTTGTTATCCGATTCAACAGATTCTCAAACAGCTAAGCATCGTTATTTAGATTTACTAAATATTGCAACGAAAAAAATAATTGAACTACATACAAAACATACAAATGATCCATTAAAACCATCAAATTTAACTGAAAAAGAATTAAATTATCTATTAATTCAAGCGAATACTTCATTTGTATTTGTTCTATTACTAGAAATAAATAATCAATTTGGTGATATTGTCTATGTTACTGATTCAATTCAACGTGTATTAAATTTTACATCAAAACAAATTATTAATAAAAAATTTTACGATCTGATTCATCCAGATGATGTTGAAATGGTACGAAATGAATTGAATTCATTATCATATAATTTAACATCAGGCATCAAATGTCATTTAAAATGTAAAATTCGAAAATCCTTAGACAATAATACATACACGCCAATCATAATCGATGGTATTACAAAATATATCAGAAAAGGATTATTATTGTCTTCTGTCGCTGATCCATCATCAACTATGTTTGTAGTTGTTTGTGTTGCCCATTTACCACGTATTGTTACATTTGCTGACAAAAATCAATTGCAAAATAATGATACATTACGTTTTCGTTGTCGTTGTTCACCAAAAGATTGGAAAATATTTTTAATTGATCGATCCTATTCAAATTTGGATATTGGTAATGGTATTAACGATACCATAGGACAATGTTTGTTTAATTTTATTCATAATAACCAACAAATTCTACAATTATTTGAACAAGCAAGCATTAGGCAAATAGTTAATGAACAACAACACAAATGTCAATTAAAATGCAATGGAAATTTAATATTAATGAATTTGACTATAAAATCACATTATAATCCTGTTACACATCAGCCAGATTTTATTGAATGTACATTTGATAGTTGTTCATCGGACACAAACCACATTCAAATGATTAGCGGAAACTTGGACAATAATTTTACATTTAATCCGAATGATTTATGGGATGATACATTGATTGATGTATCACAGCAACCAGAAGACCAAACCCTGTACGAAGCTTTTTTTGATTCGCTAGATAGTATTTTAGAAAATCCTTGTTGAATATGTAAAGTTACACATTCAACAAGGATATATTGGGTATTTATATTATAGTGTCATCGTTCTACTTATTTTGAAGTATAAAGACGATATCATAAACATCTTCAGAAAAGCTAAGAAAAAGAATGGGGAAGAAGTAAAGTGAGTGTTTCGAATTGACCAGCAAAAAACGCGTTGTCAAATTTATCTCTCACTCTAAAATAACCTAGTGAGCGTTTGAAAAACTTTTTTATAGATCTTAGTAGAACAAAGCCTCCTGAATCGAAAGAAACAAGTTAAAAATGGGACTTGAATTAAGTGAATAATGATTGAGAATAATATGGATAATGTTTCGATCATTCACATTAGACACCCAATTCGTACTCTGACGGGAAAAAGAACTTTTATTCTTAATCTTAATTGACCCATTCAAAAGTACACGTTTTGTACAGAATCTTGATTGTAACATTAAACTTTATTATTACGATTAATGGGCAATAATTCACAATAAAAAATACGATAACAGCAGCGTTTTTTTATTGCTGCTGCTATCGTGTTTTTTAGTATCTGATATTGATTTCCTCACTATCCCGATTATAAATTTAAGGCATATGCCTGTGACAAAATCTAGTTAGAATTGTCAGGGGTACTGCTACATTCCAAAAAAATGTGTGCAGATCAAAAAACGGAAAAGGATTTTTCATTTTGAACGTGTTTTTAAACGCCGTTTTTAGACTATTTTCATAAACCAAAAAAGGTTCGTGGTTGTTTCAAAATGAAAAACCCTTTTCAGTTTTTTGATCTACTCACATTTTTTAGAGTGTAGCCTGTACAGATTTTATAAAATCACAAAAACGTCAAAACAAAAAAACCTACTCGCTTTTCAGATGTAATTTGGATGATGCTTCCTCAAACACTGTTGAATCACCGCTATGTAAAAGAACTACAAACTACACTATATATAGATTAAGGAAGAATGTTGACTCAACAAGAACTGAGTCAACATTCTTTGTGGTCATGAGAAATGAAAATAGATGAAGAAAGAATGTTGACCCAAAACCGAGTCGACATTCTTTCCGATCATGAGAAATGAGAAAGAAGGAATGTCAGTGATGAGTGACATACAGGTACAACATACTAGCAGGACAGACCTAAACTGTATCATTGGATGGAAAAATTTTATCTCAGCTTGAAGCGTTTTGAAATTGATTCGTATAAGTTAGGTGAGTTTTGGAAAAAAAAATTTGCCGCTAGCGCCTTAGACTCACTTTGAGAAACTCACTCAAAGAAAATTAACACAAATCACTTGTTCAGTAGCCTAATCTGAAGAAGAATGTAAAAACCAAATCGATAAAATAATAAATTATAATTTCGAACGGAAAAAGCTAGCAGTGCGTACAATATTATAGTACACGTTTTTAAGTAGTGACTGAGTTCTAATCAAAATACTATTCTGTGAATCTTATTTCTTTGATTTTGCCATTAAAACCAAAGGTAGTGGATAGAAAAACATATGCGAATCACTCATCGATCAAAGTAGATAAAATTATCACAAGATTCGAGTATTTTAAGCAGAAATGCCATTCTTGACGTGGTCCAAATTGCCTACTCCTAGTCCAAGTAGAATTTATCACTGTACATCATATAACATATTTACCTTTGGCCTAACATATCTCTGGTATTCTGCAAAACAAAATTATGGATTTTTTAAAAGCAGAAAGACAAACATTTTCAACAATTTCAGCAGAGATTCGTCTCGGAACTTGACCCAAGGCTCGAAAATTTGGCACATATGCAAAAATGAATGTCAACTGCCCAAGGCTCTTTTGGTAAACGACAGTATCACACCGACAATACAAAATGGTAGAGTACCATGTGTAAATTCCCGAGAAGACACGCATTCTGCATATAACGGTGGAGCAAGTAATTTATCTTTGGTTGATGTGAGATTAGGTGTCTTTACCATAGCTAGTGCATTGTGCGGTGTTGATGTATTCGTGATGTCTATCGAATGCACCTGTTATAAGCTATTTTTTTCAAAAAATAGCAGCGATCTAGAGGTGTTTTTTTGAAGACATTAAGGCGGCTCACAGTAAAAAGATGAGAAAATGCACCAATGTGTCTTCAAAGCGCACTGTGGACGTATTTCGAAGCCAACAGAACGGTTTATCAAGACACTTTTTTTTTGACAGTGTACGGAAATGTACAGCATTTGGAAGCACATCATCATCGGAAAATGACAACACTGACGCTCGCCCGACTTAAAAGCGCTTTTGTAGCTTTACGAGTTTCTATGGTCGGAAGTAGATGGATAAGTTTATTTTTTTGCTCAGGGTGTGAACAAACTTTAAACAGTTATCTGAAGGAGAACAATTGTCCACTAAACCTTCGTCAAGTTTGTAAACCTGGCAGTGTTCTTGCTGAGTTACACTCAAGTGAGATTACCGTTTTTCGATGATTATGTGATTGCAGTGTACAATTCCATATTTAAAAATGAACTAATATTGTACGAGAATAATTTCATCTTGTTTATCATCTTTAAAGTAGACAACGTTATCGAGACGTTTCATTAAGTGCTAGACGTGATGTTGATTCAAGCTGATCTGAAGCGAAACGATGATTATTATGTGATCATTGTCAATACCAATCTGGACGTATAAGTATTCATTTGAATGTACAAATACTTCATAGAGCATAGTCAACCTATGAAAAAACGGTGAAAGAAAATTTTTCAATGGTATCCGGGTGGGGGGAGTATGGCCCAAAATTTTTGTAAAAACAAAAGTGACGTTTTTGTAGGATGGACAGTTTTGTTCAGAATTCGATACTTATTCTAACCATGTGGTTTTTTTTTCAAAAATATTTTGAGGATGAAAAATGACCTTAGCGCTCGTCCTTTTACCTCCAACCATTCATCTAACAAACGAATTATTTTTAATACGATCGAATATTAAATGCTCTCTCAGAATTATCTGTAAGCGTTTGATCACAATCTACTTGTGCCTAATAACAATGGTCCGTCTGACGAGGGAACCTATCCAACTGTCGGACGCCGTTTGACTCCATATTTTGGCTATAAGTAGGACTCAGTGAGACTAAGAAAATCCTAAAAGGGTTCGGGCCCATGACTCTTGAAGACCCCGTTTTCTGGAAAACCAGTTTTTCAAGAACTCTAAAAGATAACTAAACCCTT